TGCGGTGGGCAGGGAGGCGATGGGGGGGTGCAGGCAGCACCCACTGTTCTCAGGCCTGTCGCTTCTCTTGCAGGATCTTTTCTCACCCCAACGTGCTACCGGTGCTGGGTGCCTGCCAGTCCCCCCCAGCGCCCCACCCCGTGGTCATCAGCCACTGGATGCTCTTTGGCTCCCTCTACAACGTCTTACATGAGGGGACAAGTGAGTGCTGATGGGCGTGACAGAGGCAGGGGCAGAGCCTAGTGCCCCCGTCCTCAGGGAGCTGCTTCTCGGGGTGCTTGGGAGGTGGCAGGGGGCCCCTCCAGCCACAACACCAGCCTGGGCCCGAGCGAGCTTGGTCTCCAGCCCACACGCCTGCCCCACCGCCCCCTGTGTGGTGTGGCTGCCAGTGCCACCTCTGTCCCCTGCGCACTGCAAGGGGGGTGGCAACTGCCCTCTCTCACCCTTGTGCCACCTCCCTCCCTGCAGACTTTGTGGTGGACCAGATGCAGGCAGTGAAATTCGCCTTCGACATTGCACGGGGCATGGCCTTCCTGCATACCTTGGAGCCCCTCATTCCACGCCACCACCTCAACAGCCGCAGCATCATGGTGAGCATCACCCTCGCGTGGCCCAGCCCCTCCTCCTGCCAGCTGGGGCTGGGCAGGCTCCCCTCTGACCACCCCTGTCTCCCCAGATCGACGAGGACAAGACAGCACGGATCAGCATGGCTGACGTGAAGTTCTCCTTCCAGTGCCCAGGGAGGATGTACGCGCCAGCCTGGGTGGCACCAGAAGGTGAGTGCCCAGTAGCCAGGCCCCTCCGGCCGCTGGGCCCCTTCCTTGCCCTTGGTCCCTTTCAGCCCCCCCCATGCTGGCTTCCCTGCAGCCTTGCAGAAGAAGCCAGAGGAAATCAACAGGCGCTCGGCTGACATGTGGAGCTTCGCCGTGCTGCTGTGGGAGCTGGTGACCCGCGAGGTGCCATTTGCAGACCTGTCCAACATGGAGATCGGCATGAAGGTGAGGAGCGGGCTGGGCGGAATCCCCCGGTCCAGGCCAGAATAGCCAGGGCATAACTGGGCCTAAGCAGCCACCAGGGAGCGGGGGCAAGGCCACCCAAGGAGCGCCCACCAGAGGAGATAGGGGCTCTGCCGGTCAAACACAGGGCTGGGTCCAGATTTCTGATCCTGCCCTGCTCTCCTGTGCTCCCAGGTGGCACTGGAGGGGCTGCGTCCAACCATCCCACCTGGCATATCCCCACACATCTGCAAGCTGATGAAGATCTGCATGAACGAGGACCCAGCCAAGCGCCCCAAGTTTGACATGATCGTGCCCATCCTGGAGAAGATGCAGGAGAAGTAGAGTGGGGGCTGCTTCCCAGCCAGCTGATGCTGCCATGCTTCCCTCCCCGCCACCCCCAAGTGCCTTCTCTAGCCCCAGAGCCAAGGGGGAGCAGGGAACGCCCCCTCACCCTGAGCCCGCCGCGGACACACGGTACAGACAACGTTGCCTCTCTGGAGCTGCTCTGCGGGCCTCAGACACTGCAGCACCAAACCTATGGCAGCACCTCCATCCTCCCTGGCAGCTACGGGCAGAGACTGAGCAGGAGGCCTGGCCCATGACACTGAGCATGGGTTCTGCTACCTGTGAGGCTGGGAGGGGGCTGCGGAGCCCCCCTGCCCTCCTCCTCCCCAGGCCCAGAGCAGCTCACCCACTTCACGTCTCACATGAGGCAAGGCCTGGTCCTGGTGCTCTTTCCTGCTAAGGACAGGGGGGCGAAGCTTGCCTGCCATGCCCAGCACCACCCCAGCTTCGCGCTTCACTCTTTATCGTTTCCATCCAGGCCACGTGGAAAAGCCGCCAGCATCTGAAATAAAGGTTTGTTATGAAAACTGGCTGCTGGTGGAGGGGTGCGTACGTGCACGGGGCGCTGTTGTCCACGGAAAGGGGAAAGGCCGACATGGGGCTGCCCAACAGTGCGCAGAGCCCTCGGCGCTGGGTCTGCGCCTGTACCAGCCCTCCTCTGGTGACTGGCGTGAGGAAAGCAGGCGTGCTCTCTGGGGAGCGGGGCCCAGGCTGGCTGCAGCGCCGGCTGCGGGGGCCCCGGTGTTCCTCCAGAGACGACAAGTACGCTCGGGAGGCAGAAAGGAAGAGGAGGGCTGGGCAGTTCTGTTCCCACTATGCCCCCTTCCCTTCAGCTTCCTGGGGTAGGGCTAAGTCCTCCCGGGAACAGCAGAATGCGCGACTGTCACCCACGGCTGGTCAGCTCTACACCCCCTGCTCCGTGCTGGCCTTTCAAAGGTGCGGGGCCAACGCCTGTCGGCGGAGCGCAAAGGGAGGCCCCAGCAGGCCAGCTTGTGTGCTGGTTTACTGGTAGGCAGGGCATTAGCGCGTGGGCAGGAGACGAGAGGCCTTTCCACAAAAAAAACCACCCAGTTGTTTAATGGCACAGAAGCGACCCTGAAAAAGTTCCCAGTGACCAGCCCTCAGTCTTTATGTGAAGTAGTGTGGCTTTTTCACATTGATGCCGTATTCTGCAAGTGCTGGTGTCAGGTCTTCCATGGTCAGCGTGTACTTCTTATCCTGAAGGGACAAGGCGCAGCATCAGTCACAGCAAGGGCACCCTAAGCTGCCAGGCATTCCTCAAGACCTTGTGCGTTCAGGACTTTCCCCGACGAGCTGCAGTGACCCGCATGTGACCGGCGTTGGGGACATGACCCAGCTCTAAGCACCGCATGTCTTGTTTGCTCTGTGCCCTCAGCAGCTCAACGGACAGAGGGACACTGAGCATTACTCAGCCCCACAATGATAAATCGCATCGTCTTTGTGAGGCCTCCAAACCACAAACAGATGACGACTGGGACAGTTCCCAGAAGCTAGGCTACAGGCTCCCTCCCCATTTATGTTTTTCCCCCGGCATCTGAGTTTTGACCACTGTCAGAGGGAGCGTGTAGCGCTGGGTGGCCCTTGGGCTGACGAGATGCAGCCACGCTCATGCAGTCCTGTGAAGCCATCAAAGCAGACTCCACAAATTCCACTGCCCACCTCATTTGCCCACCAGCAGAGCCTCTAGCTTATCAGTAAGCACGTTCACCCTCCCGGTTTAAGCCTTTCTATGCCCCATGTCCCCGCATTCAACAGCAGCAAGTTTAGCTGGCTACAGCCCCCGGAGAGGATGTTTCCCCTCGTCCGAGCAGCCATTCTGGCCTTCTCTCACCTTGCTCTTATTGCGGGAGCTGCCCGAGGCCGTCCCCTTCATCTTGCAGTGCTGCAGCGCATCATTGGCAATGTCAGAGATAAACTTCTGCGCAGCCAAGGAGATCAGACGAATGCTACCCAGCAGGGGAAGAGAAGGGATGATTTCAGACAGACAGCACAGAGCACCACTGGGACCAAGGGGTTTCTGCTGGGGCCCCCAGCTCTCAGACCCTGAATGGGGTCCTCGAGGCCATGTGCAGCTGCCTGCCACTTACATGCGTGGATCAGAGGCCTCGAATCCTGCCCTGTTGAGGTAATAGCCTGTGACAGCATCTGGGATCTGTACGAGAGAGAGGGTGAGGGCCCTGCTCCCCTGCGGCAGCCCGTCACCCGCGTGCAGCTGCCCCCCACGTACCGTAGGCGTGTAGTCCTCCAGCTGCATGAGGAAGTCCACCAGCGGTGTTGTGGAGACCACCGGCTTCACGTCCCCGTTGGCCGCGCTGGGTGGCACGTAGACCCCATTGGACATGGCCCCTTCGGGGGGCGCCGCGGCCA